GAAGCTTGTTTGAAAGAGCACGAACTCTTCAATATCACCTTACAACTTTAATGAATGCTGATAGTGAGTTCTCTAGGTCTGTTTTCAGATGTWACACAGCCACAAACAAGGAGCTGCCTAGGAAGAGTCCCTTTTATCTTTCAGATCTTAAGCAGCTCCACTTCATTCTGGCAGGTGAGATGGTTTGGGAGATATAAAAYCTGTAAATTGCCAGGTTTGGCAGCTGTCATCATTTTACGTAGTAATGCTTTAGTGACCTAGAAAACTGTCTAGATGATGCAGCTTGTAGCAGTTCCARTATGTACGTTTTTTTAAGTGTGCCACATATTTTACTGGCTCGCAGTAGAAAATTCTTCAAAATAASATAAGCTGTCATGGTAGATCTAATTTTGGATCAATACAAACCACAGAAATTAAAGACATCAGTAGCCTTGGAGCCTCCTGTAATAACAGAGAAACGTAGTGAAACATCCAGATTTTGTTAGTATTTATACCATAGCTGTTGAGTTGACTGTTTTTCCGGAGAGATTAATTGTTCAGACATCTTATGATCTCTTAGATGAAAAAATCTGATATTCATGTGTTCCTTTTTCTCTCTGTTTTTCCTGCGCAYTGTAAAAGAGGAGCTTATTTCATATAATTCAGTAGCCAAATTCTTGTGATCTTACGTGTGCAGAATTGAATATTTAGCAGTATCTGGTAATTAGGTAAGAAGGAGAGTAAAGGTGAATATGTTCAACATCCACAATCAAACAATACAGTGCCAACTGCACTAAGGCTTTTTCTTGTTGTTTTGTGGTTTGGTTCTTTTATAGTCTTCAGAGACCTCTTTTGATATCAGTATATACTGATTTTTGGGCSAGTTATGTAAGACGTACTACTCTTAGGGGCAAAAAAAGGCTACAAACACTGAACACAACTTATAGTTTTGTTTGGTTTCTAAACTGAGGAACGCAGTATTTTGTAGCATCAACAGTTCAAGTGAATTCTTGATATGGCGAAACACATTAATTTTAAATTTTAATAAATAATGCAAGGTAACTCTGTTAAATGCTAACAGAGCCAGGATGGCTCTATTTAACAGGGAGATTGTCAGTATCAGTGTAGCTTTTATACTCATTTAGTCAGTTTTCAGTGAGTGGACAGATTTTCTTTCAAAAAATCATACATGTCATGTGGCTTTTTTAAAAGGAGCCTTCTTAGCAAAAGGGTCAAATATGGATGGGGAAAGTTCCATGGATCCTTGAGTTATATGAAGGTACTATTTGCTTCATTTTCTATAGTCTGTATGTAGAAATGCAGTTTAATTGGAAGAAAAACAAGTTACTAGCTATGAGATTAAAAGATCAGTGGACAAATGAGTATCTAATCACATGTATATAGCTGTAATTGATTTTTATTGACTGGCAGAAAAAATATAGGACAAGAAAAAGCCAGTTGGCTGAAATCTGCCTTTGTTTTCTTTTATACTAGCTCAGTGTCACCTTGATGTATAGTCACTGTATATTTTAATCCCATTTCTTTCTTTGAAAGAACTATTTTTTTCTAAATTAGTTGAATTAAGAGAAAAGTGTGGATACCTGTTCTAAGGCTTTTCATTGTGAAATTATTACAAAACTGTTCTCAGCATAATTTGTGCTTTTTCAAATTACATGCATTAAACTACTTCTTGACTTCACATTCCCTGTCAAGAATATGGAATTTGGAAAGCACTTACCACTGTGAAGCATGCATACCTCCTCATGGATGTATCACATGTTTGCAAATATAGTAAATGGATTAAATTTCTGTTAATTTCTTTTGAAGGACTCTTGAGTCTGGAAATTACTAGGAGAAATCTGCTGATATCCAATTTCTAGTAGAAGGCATTGGGAGCTTCATGTTATTTAGCATTTCTTCAGCAGTTGTTGCTAAAATATGTACACTCCAGATGTTTTCTAAATAATAGTACAGCTACCTAGTCCAGTTGTACTGCTGATGGAAGAAAAAAAAAGAAAAAACTAACCCCCAAACTGTGATACAATGAAGTGCTAGGTTCTGTTTCYTGTTGCAGAAGACCCATCCTTTTCCAGCTCTGTTCTGTGTAGAAGTTCCAAGTCAATACTGCCAGATGTGAATATGTTAAGTTGTCTCGTTTGCCTTTTTTAATTCTGAATTGGACCTGCAGAGATACTTGGGTTATTCAAATCACTTTGCCTTCCAGTGAGAACTCCTATTTTGTAGAAGAGAATATCATCAAGTGTATCATACGTAGAGTATCATAGAAATCTGGTCTTGTCATCTCATTCTAGCATCAAAAGCAGTTGCAGAAATTCTCCCTTGATACCTACATGAATTTCCTCTCTAATTTACTCCACTTCTATAGATTTCTGGGAAGCAATATTTTCATTTAAATGCAGATTTCATTAAACCTGGGTTTAAAATGCCTGGAAGTGATGCCYGAGCCCTACCTGGACAGAAAGTTCTAATTTTTCTTAGCAAGTCAGCCACTGAATAAATCTCCTAGTCCAAGAACATAATTTCATATTTCTTCAAAGGAACAGAACTTTGTTTCTTTTGAGAAAATTTCAATCATACAGGGTCTTAAAATAAAATTAATATTTTCCCCGTGCACTCTTTACGCTGTTGCCTTAGCAGCAAGGAAAAAAGGATTGTCCTACTGTAAGCCTGACCAAATGGTTAATGATCAGAAAAATCACAATAAAAAACTGTTATTAAATTAATTACTTAACATTTTGTTACTTTGCAGTTAATTAACTAAGAGACAGTTCCTTGTATTTCATTACTTTATATATGTACCTGCAAACCCTCCCTAAGCACTGGTGATCATCTTTTCAATAAGTTTTACTTTTTTGTGTTTCCTGATCCATCATTTGAACACATCAGTGTAATGATTCAGCACAGCATAACTGCCTGAATTATTAGATTAATTGAATGTATTCATATGGACTGTTTAAAGTATTTGCAGTAGGCTTGGTTCTTGGGCTTGCTGGTTGTATAGATCATGTGGTATACCAAGTGTATTTATATTGAATTCCCCATGAGCAAGGCAACAGTGAGCTGCTGCAGCACAAAAATTGATCCAAACCACAAGGCCATTCCTGGAGGTCTTTTAGGAGAGAGACCAGCAGTCCTCCTGAATAGTTATAGTAGGTTTCATATTCCTGCCTCATATAATTTTCTCTTTTACTCTAGTCTCTGGACACATGCTGAAACATTGAAATCCTTGCACATTTTGCAGAGTGGCATTATTATTTGTAGTGAGTGTTTTACTGTCAGTAATCCAAAGAAATGTGCATTGTGCACTAACATATTACTTACGTAGTATCTTAGAACAGTCAGGATTGTTAAAAGAGCCTAAATACATACCCACAAAAGGGATTACTSTGTGTCATCTCCACATTTACTGTGCCAAGTTTTGTTATCAGTATTAGCGATTGAATGTATATGTGTGCACCAAGACTAAAAGCATTTTAAAGCACTTTGAAAAGGACTGGTAAGTCATTCTTTCACATTTTAAGAAGAGTCTGGCATAACAGAAATGGAAGTCAATTTAAGATTTTTATTTAGATAATCTATGTATTTATATTCAATTACCAATATATGTGGATTTTTGGGGCGTTTACGTCTGTGTTGGCTATTAAAAGTCATTGAGCTTTGAAAGGGTAATTAGTTTAGATCAGTAGCAAATGCAGGTTTCGTATCAATACTCCATTATTCATATAAAGAAACTAGAGCATGGAGCACTTTGTCAATTTTTAAATGTTTTTCTCACTACAGTGTTTCTTCAAAGGGCAAAGTAATGAATCATAAATTAACAAACACCAGGCTGACTAAGTTTTTTTTTCTTTTCCTCTCTGTTTCTCTCCTTTTCTTCTGCCTGTCATACTCAGATTGGTTCTTTCCTCTGTTTCGGACTACTTTGCAGCAATGTTCACTAATGATGTAAGAGAAGCAAGACAGGAAGAAATCAAGATGGAAGGTGTGGAGCCAAAGGCATTGTGGGCTCTAGTTCARTATGCATATACAGGTAATTGAGGTGAAATTGAAAATTTCGTCTATAATTGAAGTGAAAATGGAAAATTTCATCTAACAGGGATTTCATCTAGTGAATTGTCCTCATGGGAGCATTGTATTCCATTACTAGATTTCAAATAGTATTTGCAAATTATTCACATTATTTAATTTCATATAAATTAATAAAAGAAATCATAGAATATCCGAGGTTGGAAGCAACTTACAAGGATTCTCAAAGCCTAACTCCTGGCCCTGCTTAGAACATTCCAACAATCACACCAAGTTGCCTGAGAGTTTTCCAAACTTTCCTCAGTCAGGCTTGGTGCTGTGACCACTTCCCTGGGGAGCCTGTTCCAGTGCCCAACCACCTCTGGATGAAGAACTTTCTCCTAATATCCCACCTAGCCCACTGCTGCCTCCTTCCCCCAACCCAGCTTCATGCCATTCCCGTGGCTCCTGTCACCAGTCAGCAGAGAGAAGAGATCAGTTCCTACCTCACCCGTTCCCTGATGAGAAAGCTGTAGACCACAGTAAGGTCTCATTGCTGTGACCTGAGACAACCTGATAGGATAAAGTTTTTCTGATAATACTATATTTGSTTAGTTAACAAATTATGAGAAACTATTAAAAGTGTCATGACTGACAAAAAAAAAGAATCTCATTAGAATTCCCTTTCCTTACATCATTATAAATACTAATTTTGAAAACAGTTATCTAATGCTGAGGGTGGTGTTTACTAAGCCTTCTATTCTGTCATATAATCTGTAAATAATTCTGTTGGCTTGGAGTTTTAGGGAATTTATAACATTATAAGAGAAAACTGATGTGATCTTCTTTTTGATGTTACTAGGTCGCCTTGAATTAAAAGAAGATAACATAGAGTGCCTGTTGTCTACAGCTTGCCTTCTCCAGCTCTCTCAGGTTGTAGAAGCATGCTGTAAATTCCTAATGAAGCAGCTTCACCCATCCAATTGCCTTGGAATCCGATCTTTCGCTGATGCGCAGGGTTGCACTGACTTGCACAAGGTGGCTCACAATTACACTATGGTATGTTGTTACATTAAGTGTCATCTGCTTTATTTGGTAGKGAAAATACAGAATGTCTTTCTAAATATAGTAATAATGTTTTTTTCCATAGAATGCCTTCATCATTTTCAAACAATAATGCACGTAYGTTCCCATGATGAAAAATGACAAAATAACTGTAAAGTTGCTGGTTTAGAATTGGAAGGAAATAGGCAAGCACTAATGGTTCCCTGTAACAGAAGTGGGATTCTGTGGTATGCATTTAATAAAGTAACATGAAAGCTTGTTCTTGTTTGTGACAGTCAAAAACTACAGACTTCACAGTGCGCAAGCTGCCATCACCTATTCAAAAAGAACATGTTACTGAATGGAAGTGTCGAGTTCCTTTTTTGAATCAGGTTCTAAGTTGTACTTGGGGTATGAATTTGGGCATTCAGCAAAATAGATTCTGCATTATCCTTAATATCTTAGCAATGGGATGTCAGGCGTTAAAGAATTTAATCTTAGGCTAGGCAATATGTAACTAAATACAAATTCACCAATTTTATTTTCAGAGTTAATTTATAGAAAGTCAGACCTGCCAACTTAAGTAAACTTCATCTGCTTAATAGTCATCCTTTATTTTAATGTAAAATTTTCTTATTTTACTTCTCACAAGTGTATTTTAGTAAAGTTATCAGAACAAGGCAGGAGAACTATCTCTGAAGCAAGTCGTTGATCTCCTCTTGCAGTTTTGTGAGGCATTTTGCTCACTTCTTGATAAAATTTTGCCTATGTAAGCTCTTCGGACCTGAATGAGGGCATTTAGATACTGCATAAGAGATGTGGAAAGGAAGATAGTACTTAATTTACTTGTGTGTCATGGTATTACCTTGCCATTAAGATATTGGCTTAGATCCAGGAGTTGTAATTTGAGTCTTGTAATTAGTACTAGAAATTCATGGCTTTTTCTCTTGCTGCTGTAGGTTTTGCTGGTTTGAAACCTTTTTTTAAAAAAAATTACTTCTTGGCTTAAATTAATTTAGTTTAGTATGTATTGCAGTTTAAGATGGATTTTTTCATATAGGATACAATGTTCTTCCACAATGAATGGCTGTCTCACATATTTAATATGATGTATACACTGAAATTTACCAAAGCAGATTAATAAATAATGTGCAGATTGTAACTTACATATTTCTGTTCTTCATTGTTGCACAAACAAAAATAAGGAAACTGCAGTTAGGTAGAATGTCCAGTGAAACAGTGAAGTAAATGTGGCTTATGCTTTTGAGGAATATTAGAGTTAATGTTGAGTGAGTCCAGTGATAAAAAAAATATGTGAAAAGAGAAACTCCCTCCTTTGACCTACTTGTTCTTTTTCAGAATAAGCATATATTTTGGTCTGGGCCATTGTCATGTCCCTTATAAGTGGACTGCCAAGATCAGAATAATAAGAATTATTAGACTAATCCATCTTTAAAGGAGAATGTTGGTATTCCAGTCTTAGTATTCTGACTGGAAATTCATGACTTAGGACAAGTATGGACTGTGAACTTTCTAAAAGCCATTGTTTTACAGCACCTATCTTTCTTGTGTTCAGACCAGAGGAAAATAGTACTGTGCCTTTTGGCCATTGTTTACTTCAGTGGCAAAATTGTTGCTTTTAAAGGCTTTGATGTGAATGAAATTCAAATTAGGTGGATTTTAAAATGCAATTTTCAAAACTAATTAGTTGTGCTAGATGGATTTTTCCCAAGGCCTCTTTTAATGTTGTTTTGTTCCAACAGAGACATTAAATTGAATTTTAGTAATAATGAGTAATAGAGAAGCAGCTTCTTTAGTTTGAAATGAGTGTTGCTATGGAAACTGCATAGAAATGTATAGTCCAATTGAATTTTCAATTAAAATAAATCTCCACATAATTTCATTCACTTAAAATCTGTTTGAAAAGAGAAAATGTTCATCACTAGTAAGTGCTAACTACTTGATGCTTTTTCCATTAAGAAGTATTAGAGTGTAAGGGTTAAGTACACCTGTAGTAGCTGGCAAAATTCTCTTTGAAAAATGGAATTATTTTTATGCTGTGTTGGGCTACATAGAATAGAATGGGATTATATTGAGTATAGTTTATAGTTCTGGTTATTTTAAAATACTTGTAGTAGAAGGTAGTGAATAGTATGAAATATCTAAATTTTAATTTACACATTATTTTCTATGCGTTTTTCTTTGACAGAAAAAAAGCCCTGATTGTCATTTAACTTTCTTTACAAGTAAAACAACTTCTTTGTTTTAMATGTTTTTATGACACATGTAATAAGTCTGAAATCATCTTATCTGCTTCATTAAAATACCTCTTTACATGAAGACTTGAAATTCAGGTGAAAGGAGCATTTATTTAAACTGGAGGATGAATCAATTAATTATCCCACTAGGTCCAGCTCTGTTAATAGGCTTGTTCTGTCTAAGTAAAGTTCATTAGTCATTGGGAAGCATTGGTGGTTAAAAAAATATTTTAATAAGAAGGATATTAGTGCTGCATTTCTTCATATTACCGATGTATGTTTTGCTAAAAGGAATTAAGTGTTGCATTATTTTATTGCTTACTATGTGTACAGTTGATAAGTTGTTTTTACAGAGGGGAACAGTTTCAAAACAGGTCAATTTCTGACATCACAAATGAAAGCTTGAAAAAATCCTCAAGGATACATGACGTGAAACCTGAACGGAAGTGATTAGTAGTGGATTTAATGCTGTGTAAAGAGTGASTCTGATTTTTACATATCACAGGTTTTTAAAATAGTTGATAGAATCACTAGAAGTGTCTGAGTGAAGGTGTCCTTTAAACAAAGTTTATTCTGTTTTGCTGTAGTTTTTATATAGTGTTGGGGAGAAACAGTTACAAATTTAGGAGTCTTATTAGACAGTCCAATATTATATCTGTAAAGGCCTTTTTTGCACAAAATGCTTTCTGTGTCTTTTTTATTATTGTCTTCAAAGTCAAAAGAAACACCCCTTTTTGATATCTTGTTTGTTTAAAATAATTGATAGTGTACCTTGAATGAAAACCAATAGTTCCTTTTCCACAAAAAAAATAAACAAAAGGGAAGTTAATTTGAGATGAGAAAAAATCATTTCCAGAACATGAAATATCTGTGGTAAGTAGTGAGGTATTCTTAGGCAAGTGTCAGTAGCTTCTTCAACCAGATTTTGACTTTGTGATTTACAACCAAAAAAGAAAAAGCAGACATTCTAAACTTTGTGTGATAGTGCCTGAGTCAGTCCCTGTGTAATCATTGTTGCTCAGCTAGGAGTCCTTAAAGCAGAGTGAAAAGTCATTTTGATTTTCATCAGAAGTCTTCAGAAGTATATGAGCAGTGACAGTATTACAAAATTCAGATAAAATTAGTTTTCGAGTTTGTGTGATTTCTGAGCATGCCAATGGATGTTTATAAGAAAAACTTAGGAGAACAGAGTAATATATTGGGTCCAAGCATAGAAACTAGGTATTTGGCAAAAGAAAAGGTGTGAGGGACTTGCTTTCTCCCATAAGAGGTAGCTGGGTAACAAAAAATCATTGCAATGTGGAGTTATGATTTGGAAGGAGGAATTAAAGAGAGTTAATTTGTCTTCTTTTTTTTTCCTTGCAGCAGCCAGGACAGTTTTTTCTTTTGTTAATTTGAAGCATGAAGAGAGGAGAAATTTAAATACTTTTTTTCTCCACAAAGGGCCAGAACCAAAGATTGTTATAATGCCTAAAACAAGGCTTTGACATTYTTGCACCTGAAATTGCAGTCCAGAATGTCCTGCTCAGTAATCAACTGACTTTGACAATATTCATTCACTTGCATTTCACCTGTGAAAACAGATATTTCTGTCTTTCAAGTTCCCTCAGTCCTGCCTAGCACMATAGATCAGTACTGCCTTGTCAAGGCTGAATGGGTTTCCGCATGCTGCTCARCCTGTTTTGAAATCCACAAAGTGCAGTGAGTAGTCAAGCTACAATAGCTGTACTCTAAAAAGACCCTGGACACACTGAAAACATTAGGTTGGTTTATTGGTKAACACATCAGTCAAATCTGAGTAAAAGTAAAGTAGGTGGTATCTGACATCTGTTTGACTATTAATAGTTTGCCAGAAAGTCAGACAGCTCAATTCTTAGTGAATTCATGCTGTAGTTGACCAGGAGACTGAAGCAGCCAGCAGACAGAATTACATTCCCTGTTGGCTCTTGTTCAGATCCTGTGAGTCAAGCACCTCTCGGTTTTTTTGGCTGCCCAAGTTCRAAGTGTAAGCATAGCCCTGTGGTTAAAGCTGCCTGTTGGGCAGCCTCAGTTCTCAGCCTGCAGGTGCTCTCCAAGGTTTTAATCCTGACACAGTGTACAGGGAGACTAATCATCTCATTSCATCCCTCTGTAGGGATTAAGTATCATTTAGAAATACGTATCATGATATATTATTTTTTATGTGCTCCTAATATTTTTTTTGCTCTATACCAAGTTCAAGGCAGATCTGTGGTTAAGAATATCAGTATTACTCTGCAGTTGCTGAAGGATGAATTTGAGGTTATGTGAATGAGCAGTATCCAGCACTGAGCATGAGGACTGCATGTCCCTGTCTTAGCTAATAYATAAACCTCAAGCTACTAATTTGATAGTTTCCAAGCTCTTTGAGGAGCTAATTTTGGGGTTGGAAAACTGTTTACTTTCAGGACCAGAAAGCAAGGGATTGAAACTGCAGACCATTTGTTCTCTGAAATATCCTGTTCTTCCAGAGAGAGTTCCCATAAGAAGAAGGAAAGAAAATCCTAATGAGGAGGTTAAGAATGCTAGGTGATAAACTGGCTCCTTCTTTTTGTCTTCAGAATCTCTGTAGAGGAAGAGGAATTGTCAGATTCTGATTATAAAAAAACCCAGACATAGGACAAAGAGTGCCTGTATTCCCAGTGGAATACTTTGATACTCTGCTCAAAAGGAGTCTCTGCTTTAAAAATAGAATGGGAGCAAGAGGAAGTTGAGCTTGTTCCCATCAGAAAGCAATGGTCTGCAAGCAACAAGAAGGAAAATCAGTCTTTTTACACATAACAGCTGTTGAAGTGATGMAATCCAGTTGGAAAAAATCTTTCCAAAGAGGACCCCTGACTGACTTATGCAAGATCAGCTTGTTGTTGCCTCCAGAGACAAAAGAACTTTTCATGCAAGTGCTTTCCCCTTCCTCTTCCTGTGACCCGGATAGACAATTTGGAAGGTTTAAGGTAGTAAGTGTTGGCATTTCTCTTTGCCAGAGCTCACTGCCTGTTCATCAGCAAAACTAAAAGTGCATGTCCAGCTTGCATACTCTCTAGTGCAGAAAACCAACAAAAAAGCAGCCAGTGGAAAAAATTAACTCAGTGCAATATGAATTCTTCAATGCATGTTTAAACTGTGGAAATAATTTTGATCACTTCTCAGATTCAGTCTTACTGCCAGGCATTCAATATCAGGGTGAAATAAACAGCAGTGCATGTGTTGTGCTTCTAGATATTGGTACAGTCCCTTCACTGTTTTTAATTCATATATTTGATCATTTTAACTTTTGTTTTATAATACAAATAATTAAATTAATTAAAGAGGAAAAGATAACTATCTCCCTTCTAATGTACTGTAACTTTCACTTGAAGTATTTCTTTTGTGTAAACAATTGGATCTTTCTTGTAGGAAAGCTTTTCAGATATTAAATGTAAAAGTTTTCTTTCCAAATTCCATTTGCAAGTAGAATTATGTATAACATCAGTACATTTTCAGTTATTTTCCTGATTTTCAGAATTACCCATAGAGTGGAGTCACTACACATCTTGTAGCCATCTTATATACATCTGGCTTTCATGTGAGGTAGACTGTTTACACTGAATTAGTTTTTTCCTCTTCGCTCACCTTTTTCTTTTTTTTTTTTTCTTATTAATCAATATATTTGGAGTACTCAGGTATAGCTTTGAAMGCATTAGACCAAGCAATAAAAAAAGAAGTGTTAACATTTTTTCTTTGTTGTCATGATGCCTATTGCATATATAATGCCAAACTGTACTGTCATTTTTGTTGCCATTTTAAATACTAAATTCGGATCTGTTTTGCAGTKCATCTCTTGCTTCTTCTTGCAAGCTTCTCCCTTTTTTTGACATAAAAATCCTATTTTTTTCCACATGTGCTTCTAATCTACAGTATTTTTATTAGCATGCAATTCTTTCTTTTTAAATCATTAAACAAAACGCTAAGTAAGTCTTATATTCTTATTAGGCCAAATTAGACTTCCCTGTTTGTGGACMTAACACATTTTTGCTCTCCAGGTGTTTTGGAGGTGCATGTGATGCCAGACCAAAACTAGCATCCTGTTASCTGGCTATCTAGCAATCCACAGTGCATTAAATAAATTGATTGTAACACTGTTATTGTCGTGAAATTACTCTCAGCTTTGAGTATGAGTTAAGTTGGATTTTGAGCTACCAAATACAAGAATATGTTTTGATTTTGCTTTTTTTTTTGCTTTTGCTTGTTTTGCTTTTGCTTTTCTTTGCTACCTTGTAAAGGTATATGGGGAAAGAGGATAGATATGACATCACCCTTTTCTGTTACATTTACATTTTTCACTGTAAATTCATGGTGCTGATTGTGTTTCTACAATACTTCCTCTATTTCTGTCTAAATTGTTCAGAATCCTTACAGAATATGCTGAAAGTCCTCATGTTACAAAGTAATTGGGTATCAGTGTAGGATGTTACATATTGTGAATTTCTTACAATGAAGTAAGGATTTGTTGCTGAAAATGACAAGATGAAAATTAGAAGATTTAATCCTATCAAAGTAAATACTGTTAGCGTAGCAAGGCATATGTAATATTGTGGATTCTTTGTATGTTTTGCTCCCCAGTCAAATCAGATGAACTGTACAAAACCTACAAAATAGTAAAATAAACTTAAAATGATCCATTTAAAATCAACAATAAAATTCTTAGTGTTGTTTATTTCTTCTGAAAACTTAATGACACATTTCTTCTAGCAGTAATGAAAAGTGTTACATGTGCCCAGTTGTAGCATGTTGTGCTTCAGTTGTTTCAGCACATCTATCTGTGAGACTGAATGATTGAGTTAGGGAAATGGTCGGGGTGAAAATAATTCAGTACCTTTATTTTTTTTGTCTTCTCACAGGTCAGTAGTCCAGTGGGACAACTGAGAGATGGCATGAAGGGAGGGAAAAGGGGGGAAGATACAGTAGGTGTTCCATAAAATGTCTTCCAAGTATGATGTTGCCTCTATTAAAATACTTTTCTTTTTCAGGAAAACTTCATGGAAGTAATTAGAAATCAGGAATTTCTGTTATTGCCAGCCACTGAAATTGCTAAGCTTTTAGCAAGTGATGACATGAATATTCCTAATGAAGAAACTATACTGAATGCACTGCTTACATGGGTTCGACATGATTTGGAACAAAGAAGGAAAGATCTCAGTAAACTCCTGGCTTACATTAGACTGCCTCTGCTTGCTCCACAAGTAAATTGTTCCATTCCTCTCTAGTTTATACCACGGTTACAGTGGGCAGAATGTCTGCAGCATAAATATATTGATAATGACAAATCATAAAATCATAGCCATTTGGATTCTTAGAGATGCGTGTAAGGACTTAGCATGTTGTGTAGGCATGATAGTTTGTGCCTCTTTGTGAACTCTAGCATATTCTGATYTTAGGACACAAGAAGTGGTGGGAGCTTCTAGAAAAAATGTTGCTTTTCATGCCTATAAAAATGCTTATCAAGGATATGTTTGTCACTAGAAGCTGTGTCCTTTTAAAATTTCTTCTGTATGGAATTTGCACGGTTTATTTGGCTCATTACATTTTCTGAATATAGTTATAGCTAGGAAATGCAGTTTGAATTAATTCTTTGGAGTCAGTTTTCTTCTAGTAACTCTTGATAAGCCATCATTAGGTWTTTCTTGTTCTTCCCAGTCAATACTTTTTCTTCCTCTTGAGCATTAATACAAAATACTGAGGAAGCCTTGGGCTCAGTTTGTTTAAATAGYTGTGAATTAAGTTTTCCTAGTCCTGTAGGAATGACTATTCTTGTTATTCTCGTGTTAATTCTCTCGAGGGCAGGGAGGCTCTGCAGAGAGAGCTCGACACGTTAGAGGACTGGGCACTCACCAACCTTATAAAGTTCTACAAGGGAAGGTGCTGGACTCTGTGCATGGCAACCCTGCATGTACAGTCTGGGGAATGAAATGCTGGAAAGCAGTGCCATGGAAAGGGACCTGGGGGTTCTGRTAAATAGCAAATTGAATATGAGTCAACAGTGCCCTGGCAGCCAGGAGAGCCAACCCTRTSCTGGGGGCGTCAGGCACAGCATCRCCAGCCGGGCARSRGAGGGGATTGTCCCACTCTGCTCTGACCTGGGATGACCTCACCTCAAGTGCTGGGGGCAGTTTTGRGCACCACAGTGTAAGAAAGATATTAAACCATTAGAGAGTGAAGGGTMTTAAGGGGAAGCCCTATGAGGAGGGACTGCAGGCACTTGGTCTGTTCAGCCTGGAGAAGAGGACACTGAGGGAAGACCTGACTGCAGTCCCCAACTTCCTCATGAGAGGAAGAGGAGGAGCAGACACTGATCTCTGTGGGCTCCAGGACAGGACCCAAGGGAATGACCTGAAGCTATGTCAGGACAGTTTTAGGTTGGATRTTAAAAAAAGGTTCRTTACACAGAGGGTGTTTGGGCTCTGGAGCAGCCTCCCCAGAGAAGTGGTCACAAGACCAGCCTGACAGAGTTCCAGAAGCATTTGGACAATAGTCCCAGGCAAATGGTGTGGTTCTTGGGGATATCYTTTGGGGTGCCAGGGGTTGGAGTTGATCATCTTTGTGGGTCCTTTCCAACTCAGCTTATTCTGTGATTCACTACCTGATAGCAAATTTGTAAACTAGGTTTGATTATTTTTATTTGTTTTTTCCTTTCTTTATTGGACCTTCTTTAGTAATATTTAACACTAACTATACAGTCAGAGGATTTTGCTTTATGGTTTTCAGTATGTTTAGTGAGAATTCTCTCTCGCTTAAATGAAGAAAATAGGACTTTTATGTAACCAAAAAAAAAAAGTAAAATCCATTAACACAATAAAAATGGAGTTCAGTTAATTTATGGTGATAAATAACATGTASTGCATTCTGTATATTACCTCTAATCTGATGTCCTCTTGCTGGATTATTAAATTCACTACCAAGCATTTTAATACTTATTTCCATACTGATTATTATATATTCAAAAGTAGGATTTTCTCATTTGTGGTCTTGACTTTGTATTTCACTTTTTCTAGAAACATAATTCAGTGTAAGCCAATTGACCAGGAGGAAATAATTCTTTAATTGAACATTTAATTAATTGATAACTACGTAACCTCTGSTGTGTTCCTTTTACTTAACTGGCTGTAATTGAAACATCTTTAGAAACTGAAAGTACAGAATTTATCCCAGTAACATGAACTGAAATCAAATTATGTTCACTTAGTAACTGATCAGGAAAATAGCAAGATGAAACACAAAAGCAAAACTATATTTTGCTTGTTATTTTATCTTTAATTTTTCATCTCCTCTCCAAATATAYACTTACACTTTTAAAACAAATAAATACAATTTGTATTTATTACTTTCTTTAGCAAATTAAAGTGCTAAAGCTGTAATTTTAAAATGGAAATGATTAGTGGATGAGTAAACTTACTTCAAGTGCCCAAAACAGTCTTAATATTTTCAGAATCATGTTTTTCTTCATGATCATGTGAAATTAGGCAATCTGACAGCAAATATAACATAATTAAAAGCTTCTCAGTTTTATGGTTGATGAGTTAAAGATATTTGAAAGTAATCAATCTAAAAAATTGAGCAACTTGCTGAAATCAATAATGTTGCATGCAGAGATGCAGATATATTTTAAAAAATCTTCAGAAAACACTGTGAAACTGTAACAATAGAWGCAAAAGAAACCATAATGAATTGTCAGGTTTTTTGGTTTGTTTTATTCATCTCTTTGTAGATAGCTTTCTGTCATCTCTCTGATTATTTCAARCAGTGTCCTAAATATTTGTAAGTTTCCTTTTGCTAAAGATGAATATTTGTCAGCCTCTTAAGCTGTATGGTGGCAAATATTACATCTCTAGTAAATAATAAAAAGATGATTTAGCAATTTCTGAATTACAAAGTGGCTCAGACTCCTTTTAGACAGAAATTCTTAGTTCTGGAGTGTTTGCAATATCTTTCTCCTTATCAGATTTACAGTTACTATGATTTCATGCTAGCATATCATTTGTAAATGTTGTTAGAAATGCTTTTAGCACAAGGAGCTATGTAAATAATAAAACTTGGAAAACATTTGCTTTTGKTTTAGTAAGCCCATTCCAAGTTTGAGTGAAGAATATTTCTAGTAGTTTTACTTTCAAGAGCCTACAGGCTAGATTACATTTCTTTTTAAGTGAAATAAAGTGGCTTTCAGAGACTGAGACTCTGCTGAGAGAAATTCGTTATAGGTTGAGTGGGTTAGAAACTGTAGAAAATGTAGGTTGCATTTGGTTAATGCAGAACTCACATTCACACAGTTGCTTTAAATGTTAAATGCTGCTTGTCCATCAGAAAAATATTTTTAAAGTCTGAATTGGTTCATGTTATGTACAAGCCTTAGTTTTCRTGCATGCAGCTATGACAGTGTCTGATTTTGGACAACAGTAATTAATTGATGTCTTTTTTATTAAACTGTGTGYGATTTTATAGCATTGCACACTGGCAGTTAAAAGACAGCTTTTAGTTTATTATTTTAKAATCACAAAGTGTCCCTGTGAAGTGATACAAGTGGTGCTTTGGGTCAAAAGAAGAAACAATGGGAGGTTTGAAAATAAAGAATGAGATTAAGTTCTCTCTACTAATTTACATGAGAACACTTTTCATTTGCTCTTTAAGTAAAGAGAACTTTAGCCAATTAGAGAAATGCTGCAAAAGTCTCAGTGTTCTGAAAAGTCACTGATGAAGGGCTTTGGAAAAGTTTTTTACTCTCTGTGATTGTTAATTCTGTTTTCTGTCATATTTTGTGTTGATTTGCCTGGTACTGAGATGTTTAGGTTTAAGAATCAGTACTTAGCAGTGTCTTTTCTGGAACCATGGTTATTGTATTTGCCACTTTGCAGCCCTAAGGCAGCTTTGAGCCAGGGGTATTCAGACCATATTGTGCACAACTATTTCACAGAGAGTCCCTTTAGTACTTCTGATGGCTGATGTCACAGCAGTTTTGTCACATCTCCTATTGGCTGGCTGTCAACAGCTTAACAATGACACCTCATTCTGGTTTGTACACTTGCATGTCTAGTATTTACGAAGTGTTTGGATTTTGGATTTTCAAGGCATCTGCCTTCTTTTTCTTCTTCTGACAGCTGTCCAAGTCCCAGTGGGGCATTTCATTTGCTTCTCTCTCTGTTATTCATGCCATGTTGTGCAGCTCAGAAAAATGCCAATTGTTCAGACTTCTAATAATTAGAGTTGTGACTCTCAACTTACTAATAATTGCTTTTATTCCTGCAGTGTGATAAATATGGAGTACTCCATACCACTCCAAAGTCTTTGAACTTAAAAACTTTTATTAGTAGTCTTCAGTTGAATTTTATTTAAGATTTAAAAGTTGCCAAATTTGCTTGCACGCTTGATATAAAAATTTTAACAAAGGCTTRTATTAAGTGATGCACTGTGATGTGAGTCACTGTCAGAGTGAGGAACAGAATACATATTAWAATATTCAGCCTGTGCTGAAAGGGCTGTTGCAGACCTCTGCATTGGGCAGATTTGGGAATAAAAGCATGAGGTTGAACTGACTTAYATACCCAGAGCATGTTTCCATTTTCTTGAACATTCTTGCAAGGCACTGAAACCTGAGGAGATTATGTTTCCTTCCTTTGGACTATCAAGCTTAAATCATCCATGAAGATCAGATGGCCTMCCTTTTTTAATATTTATTTATTTMYTTAATGGTTTAGCTTAAAATGTGAATGTTCTATTTATTAAAATTTTATTTTACCCTAGCCTTTTTTGTATGACCATTTTGAAAATACAGATATCTTAAATCAGGCAGTGGAAGTGTTTGCATAAAATATTRTCTTGGTAATCATGGCTTTATTCTTCATGTGGTTTATAGCAATACAGCTTGTTTGATTTTCTTTTTYACAGTTTCTGGCAGATATGGAGAACAACGCACTCTTTAGGGATGACATTGAATGTCAAAAACTCATTATGGAAGCAATGAAGTACCATCTGTTGCCAGAGAGACGACCTATGTTGCAAAGCCCTCGCACCAAACCTAGAAAATCTACAGTGGGCGTTTTGTTTGCAGTTGGAGGAATGGATGCAACAAAAGGTATTGGCTTAATATAATGTTTAGTTGATGAGCTGTTTTGGTTATTTTTAAAAGAAATGTTTGATAGATTTTTTTACTACATGTTAAATCTAAAATTCAATGATTCTGTAGTACAGAACATGAAATATCTAAAGTGCTTACTGTTTCTTAGGTTAAAAAGGCCTATACATCTTTGATAATACTGTCAGTATTCTGGAATCTAGAATTGTGATTTGAAATTACCGAAGGAATAGCTGATTTCTGAGTAGTGAAGTGTTTAATTGAATGAAAACTAATCTTTATTTAYTTGAGTGGGCAGTAATTTGGAAAAGGAAGAAGACTGAAAGGGCAAAAAGGTGACCTGCATATGCTTTTAAAAAACCCCAAAATAGTAAAATATTTTGACTAATTTTTAAATAATTCTGTCACAACTACTTGGATTATCTTTTCCATAGAAACTTTCATGCTGCTTAATGGTAAAAAGAAGGAATCTGGCAAGTTAGGAAAGATGGCAGAGAAAGTGTTTTCTTTAATTTGTTGTTTTAAAGTTGGTTTTCAGTACTTCATGGCACATACCTTCAGTTTTTTTGGTGTAATATTACAAAACAGTTGATTTCAATATATAATTGCATTTCACATAGTTTGTTTTATATTCCTAATATTTCTATTTCTAAAGGCTTATTCTGAAAAGCAAATTAAAAAAAAAAAAACAACCCTGCTTTTTGTCTTGAAAATCACTAAGAAAGTTGTCCTTTGTAATGGTGCAGATAATTGCTGAGGAAGTCAAAAAAAGACTATTTGTCTACACAGATTTGAGAACATGATGCAAGATATCATGGTGTCTTGTTGGAGCAGCATATTGCTGAAATAAAAAATATCCTAATACATCAGACCTTTCTTTCATATATAACTTGCATATATTGTCCTTCAGGAGCTACAAGCATTGAAAAATATGAACTTCGTACCAACACATGGACTCCAGTTGCAAACATGAACGGACGAAGATTACAGTTTGGAGTTGCAGTCTTAGATGACAAATTGTATGTTGTTGGTGGCAGAGATGGACTGAAAACATTGAATACTGTGGARTGTTACAACCCTAGATCAAAAACTTGGAGTGTAATGCCACCCATGTCCACTCATCGTCACGGTCTTGGTATGTACAGCTCTGTAAAGGATAATTGCATATTTTTTAAAGGTCGTCTGTTTTAGGATTGGTTGAAAAAACATTCAGAAATTAAGTTTAGGGGAGTGGAAATTTTGTTTTAATGCCAACTGTTTATTCAATGTCTTTTCTCCTTCAGAYTTTATTGAAGACTGTATTTGGTAGCACTGGCTACCAAAAGACAAATTCTTTTTTTTTTTTTAAAAAAGTGTTTTATGGTGCACAGTGGACTGTCACTAAGAAATTCTGGTCTTTATTCCTCTTATCCAGAAGCGATTGTTTTCGATATCTGTTTTTTAGGAGTAGCTGTATTGGAAGGTCCCATGTACGCTGTAGGAGGACATGATGGCTGGAGCTATCTGAATACAGTAGAAAGATGGGATCCACAGGCTCGTCAGTGGAACTTCGTAGCTAGTATGTCAACTCCCAGGAGCACTGTTGGTGTAGCAATATTAAATGGAAAGTATGTGAAGGCAATTTCTGTTTTCAAATTTAAAATCTCATTATTTTAATGTATTTACAGGACCATCCTATATGACTATTAATAATTTCTCTTGATAGACAGCAGTTGGTAGCATTAAATTGTTACTGAGAACRACTAGATCAACCATACTTACAAGATGTTTGTATTTAAGTTTCTTGTCAGTATTTTTAAAAAATCAAACACTACTATTGTCCGAACTGAGGACATCTTGAATACTGCTTCATGGTAACTGTTGTAAAGTGTTCACACTATCATTATATACAGTATCTAATGTTTATTTGGTTATTTAACCATACTTAGGCTCTGAAAGGATTTCATTAATGTTATTTCAGGTGATCTCTCACTGGATTTTACTTCTGATGCGTTGCTTCCTTTTTAGAATGGCTTCTGTGTTCCTACTTTTCCAAATAATAGTGTTGGACATATCTGTTGCTATGCCTAGATTGCTTATAAATTCTGTTCATAAGCAAATGAACAGAACTCTTTGTCAAATTTGATTATTTGTTTAGTTTTAAAGATTCRTCAGTGACTGAGTCCTCCTAAACCAGATTATTTGCATTAATTTCAGCTCTTCCAAATAGCTGAGATCTTTTGTATCAAATGCCAGCAACCTTTTCGTTAGGACTAAGCAAATTGGGCCACCTAGTGGGAGTAAGGGATTTAACATAGTGCTGTCAGTCGTGAACTAAGATCCCAGGTCCAGAAAAACACTTGAATACCTAAGATGAGGTTGGGTAGAGTTGGTGCATGCACAGATCCACCACTGAATTTGTCCTTCTGATCCTGCAAGTCACATGTGTAATTTTGAAATTGTTAGCTATAGGCATAGGCATAAATGGTGCAAAAGATATTCAATTTTCTGTAAATTATTGTTATTATGCATTGATCTTTACAGTAGGAAAAGRTTGGAGCAAAATCTTACCTGAGTTTTCACTACAGAGCAGTCTACTGAAAGCTGAAAGTCTCCTAAACTTCCTTTCTTAACAAGCTTGGAAATCCTTCAATCCTTTTTTCACTAGAAACTGTCTTATTCAGACAACATTTATTTTCTTTTTTTTTATTTTAACTTTGTAGGCTTTATGCAGTTGGTGGTCGAGATGGAAGTTCTTGTCTTAAGTCTGTAGAATGTTTTGATCCTCATACAAACAAATGGACTCTCTGTGCCCAGATGTCAAAAAGAAGAGGTGGTGTAGGTGTAACCACCTGGAACGGATTCTTGTATGCAATAGGTGGCCATGATGCTCCAGCATCCAACTTAACATCCAGGCTGTCAGACTGCGTGGAAAGGTAATATCCTGATGAAGCCTTATCCTGCTATGGGATTGTAATAGTGTTAGTCTRTGGAGTGATTTATGGAAAGAGCTGAAAGTAGAAACCCAATAAAATAGTTTTAGCATGAAACTTATAAAAATATGCTGTGTAGTCATACATAATTCAAAATGTTACCAGGACAGATTATTTAAAGCAAATTCTCCCTAATGCAATTCATCTRGATTATTTTAACAGTCTCATTGATTGATTACTTGGAATTGAATGCTTTTTGAAATGGAGCAGATCTTTCACACAAGAAGTCTCTGCTCATATAATGAATTTCAAAGTATWTAACACTAAGATTTTGTGGATCCTTATATATCTTATTCTTTCTTATATGCCCTAATGACACTKGGAAAGTGGCATGTAGTTGAGTCATTCCTAAGTTGGTATGTCTTTGTGTAAAGCGATTCATGAATGAATGTGGAAGTTGCACTGAAAAGGCCCCAGAAAGGTTTGCAGATAGGAAGCTACTTCTTAGCAAATACCGAATTTTTAAAGCAGTACAGATAATCAGAAGCCGAAGAGAAGCAATAAGTCTGTGTATTTTTCTACATCAGTATTCTCTGAATCAAAGTTACAGAACTCATGACTTTTATAGATAAGAATCATCTTGTAATGCATTTTGTCCTTTCTCTKTATGTGAGTTGAAATTGGAGACCATCAAATTCATGGGACTAGTTTATTTTAAAAAATAAAGAATTAAAGAATATTAATTTTAAAAATCTGATTTTTTATAAGCACATTAAGCTTCTGAATTATATTTTGCAATAGAAGTTGCTTTTCCCAGATAAATACAATTCCTTATAAATTATAAATAATTTCAAAAGTAATTTCTAGATGTAGCTTACTAATCACCYTCTTCTATTTGCATGTGTGCTGCACGTAGTGTTTTCATGTTACAGTTATGCTTGCATGCTTGCTTGCATTTGTKTAATACTTTGACTAGRGGACAGCAAATTAAATTGTTAGAGCTCTTTGTATCCATGCTCTTCATGCAAAAAAAATTAAGGCTAGTGTCCTTCAACCTTGTTTTTAGCAAGTATTATCTTAGGAAGGCCTCTTAGCCGTGTAATTATTCCTATAGAATTTTCTCAAACTGTTTTAGGTGTCATATTTTTGAAAATGATAATCTTAGTACCAAAGCAAATTTTACCATCCTGTGCTTTGACATACAGTAGTTGCCACTTAAAGCAAGCACTTGCTCCACTGTGGTGTAGCAGCAGAACTGTTTGCAGTGTGTTAGATTTAGACATACAAAATATGCTGAGAGCAGCTGTACTTATCTCTATTACTATAAGGAAAGCAGCACAAAGTAGGTATCTGTTTAATAGTGACTGTGTTACCAGATGACCAAAGAAACAGTTTCAAAGGGAGAGGAATTGAGGGGGGAAAGTCCTTTGAAATTAACCCCCAAGTGTGTACTGTCCTRTTTTCTACTACCTTGAAGCATCAATTCCAGTATGTTTTTTTGTTGTTGAATTTTGGTAACAGTTTYAGACCATAACACAAATTATCTTCTAGGTATGATCCCAAAACAGATATGTGGACTGCTGTGGCCTCTATGAGCATTAGCAGAGATGCAGTGGGGGTGTGTCTTCTTGGTGACAAGTTGTACGCTGTTGGAGGATATGATGGTCAAACATATCTTAACACAGTGGAGTCTTAYGATCCTCAGACAAATGAATGGACACAGGTATAGTTTTTGACCAGACTGTATACTACTATTAATATTGTTATTTCAAATGTGCCCTTTTTACAAGGAGAATTCAAATACCTCTCTAAAAAGAACTTTCTTACTAGTCTGTTGTCTCTTTCTTTCCTTTGTGTACCATCTTGAGATGATTTGTCTTGAACACACAATTGTTAATTTCTAATAAACTGCTTTATTTGGCAAGAGTATAGCTATTTTCTTTGACAATTTCAGCTGCTTTTAATAAAATGTATTGACATGTTCCCCAAACTGTCATAAAGGATTCTGTTTACTTGACTTCTTGTTCTGAAGATAAATGATAAATTTAGATTAGTTTTAGCTCTAATGTGTCTCTCAACATTGATTTCATCAAGGTTTTGGTTATTTTTTCATAAATAATCCCTTCCTGAGGGGAATGTTATGTACAGTATATGCAGTAACTTTCAGAAAGGCCATTTTTCATTGTGTAGCTTTAAAATAAAAATAATTGTTCAGTTCATGCTCAGAAACCATTACTGTCAGTTCAGAACTTGGTTATTTTTATGTAGCTCCAGGAATGCATCTCTCTGTGGGAAGAGCATACACAAGGACATCCTGAGCTGATTGTCCTTTGGTATCTAATGCCARTTGAGATACCCTAAGACATCTACATCCATGAAAGGTTGGCAGATASAGTGCAAATCTATGGGAGACAGAGGGTCTCCTGGAGTCCAGTTGCAGACCAGGATGAACATCCAAACTCACCTATAATACCATCAGACAGTATTTATGCATTTTAGTATTTAATATTATTTAGGCAGTTGAATTCTCAACCATCTGAATGTGCTATCCTGGTGATAGCCCCAAATTCTTAATTCAAAAAGAGAACTAAAGTGCTGTTTATCAAAATCTCTGCATAAAAACATAAAACCATAAAAAACTCAGCTCTGCATTTCCTCCCATTTCCAACTGCTGCAAACTCTTAAAACACAAGTCATCAAGGAGGCTTATCAGAGCTTGGGGCCTTCACTGGTATGGTTAATGATAACCCATGGCATTGTTAGTACTGCTAAAGAGAAAAAAAAAATGTTCCAGAGGACAGAAATTGCTTCTCACCGGAGGAGAGAAATTGTGCTTCTCACCATTGCATCTAAATGAATCTCATGTGTCCTGTGTGTCTCACTGTATGCCATAATCCCGGTATGCCAAATAGTTTCAAACCTTTCCCAAAGGGATTTTGAAATATTTGTGTACCTTCCTTCTCTCTTATTATGTCAGCAGTCTGCCACCACTTCATCTTCACACAACTCAGGAGAAGGTAGTGGAATTTTCTCAGGTGAAGGTTGTCACAGCCACAGACAGCTCTATAAAAGTGTGTTATTCCTGGGTAAAAAAAGAAATCAGAGTTGGAATAACAGCCTTTTTATTCTTCAGGACAATCTCTTGGTGTACTATTCACATTGACTGTAACACTGTGAAGGTTAAAAGGGGAAGCGAAGGGGAGTGTTAGAAAATACTGTCCTCTGTTCAAGTCCAGCAGAATCTCAGCACAAAATGGTCTTGCCAGCTATTCTGATTTCAAGMACTCTTAACAGGTTTTATCAAATAATTAATTAAAAAGGAGAGGSTGCCCCTGTAATTTTTGGCATTTTCTGGTTTTGAGAAGTGAGTCATTTTACCACCCTTTACTCACTTGTCTGTCTAGCTCAGGAATCCAGTTGGTAYTGTAACAAAGGTTTCTTTTTCCTGTAATACCAAATGATTGAAATTATGAAGAAGAAGTGCCTTATGTCCTTAGGGCTTGCTATTGTTTTCAAAGTGCTTCACTCTGTCATATAAAATATCTTTACCTTTTCTGTGTGTTTGTATCCAATTTTGGACCAATTTGTAAGTCATGTTAACAGAGCATGGGCGATATTCTCAGTCTGCTGCAGCCATATAATTAGGGGGGAAAATTATTCGAAGCTGACTGCATTTATCTCATGGATGGTTTGCTTGTTTGCTTACAGGTTGCACCACTGTGCTTAGGAAGAGCTGGAGCATGTGTTGTGACTGTAAAACTCTGAATTGTTTACTCCATGAAGGTGACATTCTCCTGTGTAGACTCAGAGGATTACTTTTTCCTCAAGCAAACTACCAGTGGCACCAATAAACACCAGGCACAGGATATCTACCACAGCAAAGTGTTTGGTCTGAAGTTGACATGAACATGTTGTTCTTATGGACCAACATTAAGCACTTTTTTAAAGCCTATCTTTGTTACGTATATGTTACAAGAATTCTACTTGTACGAAAATCATCTGCAACCTGCCAGTTGTCAGCGGAGGACTTCTGTTTAGGAAGCACGAAGAAAATGAGTGAACTAACTATAATAATCAAATGTTATGGATCCCGGGTCTTGATTTTCCCAAACATGCAGAGCAATTATGCTATAAATGGATATACTTTGACATAATTGGGTCCATCTCTGAGTGAAAAAAGTTATAGGATTGGACTCCATAGATTTAATTTGCCTGTTACAAACACATTTGGCTATAGCTATCTGAGTGACTACAACACAGGCTGACAAACCAATGCAAACTATTATAAATGGCAGTGTAATGCCTGCCTTGGAAATGAAGTTGTGTATTTGGTGAATTTTTTGCACTTTTTATCATCATTCCTAGTCTAGTGAACTTTTTATTTAACCAAAGCCTTGTTTTAAATATTGTCTTATGCTAACAGAAGCCTGCTATTTAATAAGTTCTGGCAGGTATTTTTGACATCCAGTACTTTTTGGATTTTCAAAGTTGTTATATAAGATGCAGAACATCATACCTTTTTCTTTACTTTGGTTCTTGTATTCACTTTGCTATTTGTTTGAGTTATGGGAAGAATTCTAAAGTGTGATTAACAATTAACCAATTTAAGTTTAATATTTGCACTTTGGAATTTTTGAAGCATTCCATTACATCTAGACTAATTACATTTTTACATGAGGCTTTGCACTACTATGMAAAGTATAATTTTATAAGATGAAGAAATTGTTTGTCTTTCCTGTAAGGTTATTTAAAAATGTAAAGGGCCCAATCCTGCAAGACGCTCAACTGCCACCATGTAAGCTTGTTCAGCATCTTACAGGACAGTGACGTGTGCCTCGCAGGAGTGTATCAAATTAGTTACCTTATTTAACAATTACCTAWTTTTTTCAGATACTTTATAATTTGCCTTTCTCGAGCCCTATGCTGTTACACCGAATTGCTTTGAAGGGTCTAAATGTTCTCGGGAGAACTTTTTGTATTTGCTTTTCCGTGCCTTGTCCCTTATGTTTCCCGAACAGCACCGCGCGTGAAAAACGGGAAGATGTGAACTCATTGAATGTTTTGGGTTTGTTTTYCTTTTTTAAAAGTTTTAAGTGCCCGATACCCAAAGTCCTTTGTACATTTGTAACTTTAAATCTGTGTTTTAACGCTCTCGGCGAACTATTTATTGTTTTAAAAGAAATCGGTGACACTTTGTTATGCTTTGTTGAAATACAGCTGATCTCAAGAGGCTTTGCTGGTGGGTGTGTGCATTTATTCCCTCGCGTAGCTGCMGTTCTGTGTGCCTGCGATCTCCAGGGACGCGTTTTCCCCTCGGTGCCCGAGGCGCAGTCGTTCGGCGGGGCCGGGCCGCTCTGTGCCGCCCTCAGCCCGCCCCGTCTCCGGGGTAACGGCGGCGCCGGGGGCGGGCTGCGCATGCGCGGTGCGGGGCTGGCGTTGCGCGGGGGCCGCGATGAAGGTGGGTGCGGGCGGCTGCGGGCCCGGGGGTCGCGGGTGGCGGATCCCGCCCCGCCGGACGGGGGCGGCGCTGGCGGCCCGGGCAGGGGAGGGCGGCGCGGCGGGAACGGCTGCCGGCAAATGGCGGGAGGGGGCCTGGCGTGCTGTGCCTGCACTCCCGTGTTTGTTTTCTTTCTGCTGGGGTGACTTCGGGTGGAAGGGAGCTTAAAGTTCATCTAGTTCCAACGCCTCTGCGATGGCCAGGAACGTCTTCCACTAGCCCTGGTTGCTTAGGGCTCCGTCCAGCCTGGCCTTGGACGCTTCCAGGGATGGAGTGTCCACAACTTCGGGAAACCTGTTCCAGTGCCTCGCCACCGTCACGGCAAATACCTTACTCTTTAATAACTAATYTAACCTACTCTCTCAATTTGAAGCCATTCCCTCTTGTTCTGTGACTGCATGCCCTTGTAAATAGTGGCTTTCCATCCTTCTTGTGGGTTCCGTTCAGGTACTGAAAGCCCACAATTAGGTCACGCCAAAGCCTTCACTTCTCCAGGCTGAACTGTCCCAATTCTCTCAGCCTTTCCTCATAGATGGAGAGGTGCTACATCCCTCAAATCAGCTTGGTGGCACTCCTCCGGACTCAGATTTTATTAATTCTTTTTTAAAAAATCAAATATAATTGTCAGATGCCATTTGTGTGTGTGGCATGTGGTGGTTGTATTTTTGTCGTTCTTGTGAGTAGAACAAAGATTGTGCTTACAAGAATGTGAAGAAATTCACATTCGCATTCACACAAAGTGTGAAGAATGCTTCAGATTACCTCGAAAAGAAGGAATAAGAACCTTTGGCAAAGACTTGAGCATGCCTGACAGGCATTTGGTGGACACCAGGTGTTGGTGTTTATCTGATGACATGGAGGGATACAAGTCACTATAGCAAGCTGTGAAACMAGCTCGTGGGCTTTATCTTATACCCAAGTTACAGAAATATAACTGGGTAGTGTGAAAGGAAAAGGATGTATAGAAATTTTCTCAGTTGGAAGTCAGAATCTCTTTTTACAATGTGTTGCTTTGAGGTCTTAGATGTAAAGCGAGCAATTCAGAGTAACAAAAAGGTTACCTGTCCCCAAAAGAGTACATGCTGAGCCTCCTGTGTTTTGACAAACYAAGGATGCTTTCTGGTACGAGACTTTTCTGTTAAATTTAGAGGGCTCGATATTGTGGTCTTTGAACTAGAAGGGGAGAGTCTCATGCAATTTTTTTATTCCTGTAACTAAGAGGCAAAAATAATCGTTTTGATAGACTCACAGTTCTCAGTGCAGACACCCAGTGCCAGAAACTTCAGGTTTTTTCCACTCAAAAGAACCTTTATGTGGAATTTTGGTAGTTTGGTGCATTAGAATGACACAGAAATTGTGTTTGGATTGCTCTGGGTTTTTTTTTTTACCTCCACAGTACTCAAGTGCTAACATGCTAGGAAGTTGTAGTATTCTTATATGCTTAAAATATGTAATTTTCTGCTTTTTTTTTCCCCAGCAAGTATTCAGTCTGTATGAAAAAGCTTGGTCTGGTTCCCCTGTGCAGTTTGCTTGGCAGAAAACTTTAGGAAATTTTCTTGCTGTAACAGGGTAAGATTACAACTATTTATTGCATTTATCCATCAAAAATACTTATAAAGAAAGGGAATTATTCTATATATTAATCTTTTTTAGAGGTGATCGTGCTGTGAAAATTTTTGATCGTCATGGTCAGAAGAAAAATGAAATCAGCCTACCAGGGTAGGTACTGTGATAGGTTTAAAGTAAGTTCTTTGTTGTTTTCTTTGAAAATGCTTCTCTTCTGGTGGAGTACTTAGATAATGTGAAAACTTTGTAGGAAGATATACTATTTCTGGTGAATATACCTGGAAGAGAAGATGAATTATGCCATTAAAATGTAAGAAAAAGATCTATCACTTAAGAAGGATCATAATGAGGTCATATACAATAAATCCACGCATTCTTGCTACTGTTGATTTTCTAACAGTTTGGTATCATAGCTTTACTGAGAAAAGATGCTCTTTGGATTTAGTGCTTCTGTTTGCATCAGTGGCATAAATGTATTCATTGACATTGTTGCATTAGGTCGAGAGGATACTTCCGAAGTGAGTTCTTTTACTCCCAGCTTATCACACCTTGGTTCACATCAGAGAGTGCTATGGGAGTGTACWAACTGGATTCTTTTCAGATTAAATTTAAAAAGTTGTGTACTTTGGAAGATGTGTCAAACTTCTTAAAAAGCAGTCAGACCATACGAAAAGGGTAGATATGAACCAGGGGAAACCTCCCTAAAGAAAAACGGTGTGACATTGGGTCATCATATTAATTTGCTCAATAAATACACTTTTATTGTGCACCATTACTACCTCATGTAGTTTCATTTGTGCACTGGTCATCTTTTCCTAGTGCTTTAACTGCTCTTAGTCATGATGGAAATTTTTATTTTATTTCTAACTACCTGATTAATTTTGATTAAGATAAAGCCCTTATTCAAGGCAAAACTCCTGCTAAGTCTTCAAGACTGAAACCTCTAGTCAAGAGTATAACTTTAATTTCCAGATTGTCACATAACCATGTGTCATTGSTAAATGTAAGCCAGAATCACTTAGGTCCCTGAGAAGTCTAGAAATCCAGTTTTTGCACTTCATGGTAGTTACCACCTTGCACCAAACCAGGAGATGCAATTCTCATTGTCTTTACCAGGCTCATTTGTATTTTGCTGACCATCACCTCTTGCTGTTTGGGTTAGGTGTCATTTGTAGTATGGACTGCCTGTGTCAGTCTYTTTTGCTTGGTCACATCCATGACCCAGCTCTTTCTGTGCAGTGTTTTGCACAATGTGAGATAAATGCACATTCTCCCTAGAAAGTTATCCAAAGTKAGGAAAGCTGCGTAGAATCAGAGGTGAAACATGAGAAAAATAACCYGAACTCCAAATAGCCCTTAACAAACCAGAACCTTAAAGGGGACTTTCATTGTCTCTTGAAGATCAAGGTGAGAATATTTCAAGTACTAGAAGACAGGTAGCAGTCTCTTTTATGACCTTCCTCTCAGCCCCTGTCATTTTGATGAGATTTGAGTATGAGTGGGGTTGCTGTAAATTAGTTCACAGATAAGTCTGCAATCTGTCATGGGTGGGCAGGGGAAAGGAAGRATAAGGGCTCTGCTGCATAGTTTTTGCTGTTTCTATACACTTACAAACACATTTTAGCATCCTTAGTGATTTTATTTTCTTTTCTTCAGTAACTTCGTTGCTATGGACTGGGATAAGGATGGAGATACTTTAGCAATAATCACTGACAAATCTAGTACCATATTTCTGTGGGATGCAATCACAAAYAAAACAAGCCAAGTAGACAGTGGCATGAGGTAAGAAATTTTTTTTAACCTGCGTATTTAAAGTGTGTGACCGCTGTGACTTGTTGATGTGGAGGCTATATTGMAAGATCTACCTTTTATTGGAGTCTTCATAATATATGTACCAATTAAACTAATATGCTTCAGTTTCTTGCTATATTATTTTTATATTATTTGCTGGGTTTTAAGTGTTTATTGTGGATGGGGATTTGGGGGTTTACAGGGTGTTTGTTTCTTCTTTGAGTGTCAGCAGTGCCCAAGTTTCTAGAGAGCTTCTCTTCAGTGTTTTGACTTTGTGGTAGCAACACGGGTGGGTGCATTTTTAATGTATSTGCACTGGCTACCTTTTGTCCTAAGTCTTTCACACCAGCCAGAGAGAGCTTAAAAGTAAGGGAAGTGGTATCAGTGGTGCAAGCATTTTTTCCCTCTTAGATTTATAAGGAGACTAAAATGCTGTTCACAAAGCAGACTGGTTTAGGATGGAAGGAGATCTCTAAGATTCAAAGCCTCACCTTTCTCAATTTGGCCACAGACTTTAAATTCTGGGGTCAATCAAGCATTGGGTTAAAGGAAAYGTTTGGTTTAACAATTAAACTTTTGGCTTCTTTGACTGTATTCCGCTAAACTCTCACTTGCTACATAAACATTCTTTCTGTAGGAAAGAGCAGAAACAACTCTGTGCTGTGTTTATTAAGATTTATATGCATATTATGTTGAATGAATAGACCACGTTGTTCACCATTTTCATGTGTGAACAAATACTGTGGGGAGAAGAGTACCCTGCCAGTATGCAAACAAAAAAGAACGTAGAAGGCACTTAACAGAGTGGAATCTGCAGTTAAGAGCAGTTCCTTCCATTCTCTTTAATACTGGAGGCAAATTGCTTACTGGAGGCAGTCTTACTAGAACAGTATATATCAATGCAAGTCCCTAATCCTTTTTTTGTCACAGTGTTATTGCTTAAGCAGAATAAGCACTTAAGACATAAACGGTGTGATAATGAGGCTTTTCTGGTGTCCTCCCCTTTTTGAAATTAGAAAAACACCCTCATATGCAAACCAAATATATATTGGAGGTCATTTCATATGTCAGTATCTCAAATTTCTATTKCATGCCTACAATGAAATTTAAAAAGATGGGAGGGACTGCACTAATTAGAAAGTTCTGGTTTCAATTGTTTTTTGTTTAAGAGGCTCTTTTTTTTAATGTGATGGATAGTATCTGTGTAGCTTTAAATGTACATCAAAATAGGCCTTGCTGTATCAGAAACTTCAAGTTGAAATAGAYCTTTCTTACTCCTTTGTTGACTTGAACCAGACCTACTGACTTTTGAGTTGGCTAAATGCATAGTATTCTTGAAGTACAAAAAAACAATGCAAAAAGTGACTGGAAA